AGGCACGCGGAGTGGGTAAGCTCAGCCCCTCTGCAGCTCGCTGTGCCGGTCTGTCCCGGCAGGGGGGCTCCGCGTCCCCTGGGCCGCTCTCAGGGTGTCCCGGTGGCCGGGTATCCCGGCAGGACCGTTCCGCCTTGCGCAGGCCCGTTCTGTGCTGGTCTTTCTCTTGTCGTGGCTGTTCGGGCTACTGTGGGACGGGGACGTTGCTGTTGCGTCTCCAGCCGGGGCGGGCGGTCTGGCTAGGAGAGGCCCAGCATGTCCCTCAGAGGTCATCGCTGCCTCTAGACCGAAGAGTTGTGTAGCAGTTTGCAAGCCTCACACCAAATTCGTGTTTCCTGGATAAGTGATGGAAAATTTTTATCTTGTTATTTGGTCGCGCTGTCATTGGTTCTTTGTGTACTTTCAGCATTTTGCAAAGCTTTAATACCAGTGTTTTTCCAGTCTTAGGTGAGTTTATATTTTATGCATGAGTCTTAATGCCCAATATACTTTTAATTTTTAGCTTACAGTTCACCTCATAAATTGGATAAACAGCCTGTGCTGTTTTATTATTTATGGGTTATTGCCTCTGTTCATTTATTTTTTATTTAGCTCATCTATTTAGTGTTTAAAAAATAGTTGATTTTGCCTGCTAACTTTCACAAGCTGTATCATTCTGTATTGTATTCGTTCTACTGTGTGCACTGTATTTTTTTTAAGCCTGTGGAATTTTATTTCCTGCTTTTCCCTCAAGGTCTTCATTTTGCATCAGCTACAACCAGTCTTAAAACTGAGACCAAAGTGGACACAAGTGAAAATGAGATTGTTGCCCCAGACTTCACTAACAGGAATCCTCGGAACTTGGAGCAGTTAGCCCTGGCTAGGAAGGAGCGTGGCTGGAAGACAACATGGCCAAAGCGTGAATTTTGGCATAGGTGAGTCAGAAATGAAGACTCCAAATGAAAAAACAAACCACCAGAAACCCACAGGGTGGAAATTCTACTAAATGTGCTTTTTGGATTGCTGAGTCAGTTTCCGCCTTGGTTGTTGTTAATCAACATGCATCTTCTGTGTTCAGAGAACAGCGGGCTAGCATCATGTGAGTGTTAGCATATGCATTGAAGATCCTTCCATCCATTGTTAAAGTAGCAGTAATGTTGCTTTAGCAACTACTGTGTAACTTGAGACTCTCCTACTCCTGTGCTAACCACTCATCATTGTTTTCTTTGAGGCACCTTAATAGTCTGTTTGATTTGGTTTTTGTTTGGTTTGGGGTTGTTTGTCTGTTTTAGAAAATGCCAATTGCTTGTCCTCTGGAAAATAAGTTCATCTGAAGCTGGTGATTCAAAAATCGTTATTTTGTTCTTGAGGGAAGAACCATGTCTGATTTGTTCATACCTGGAATTGGGATACTGTCCCAGTGCAGTTGCTCATAAAACTCTGTGGTTATGTGTTACAGCTTAGGAAGTACTGCTTGATCACCTGCTGATCCTGCCAAGTTGTTACCTGCTGTGTAAGCACAAGCCTTTAAGAGATTGCATAGCGAACCTGAACTTACTTTTCTGCTGGAGCAGTTTCCCTGTTGTAGCTTGTGTGTGCCTGTGCCACACTGTGCAGGTGTATAGGGCTTGGTTTGAGGCAGCGTAGGACTGTACACCTGAGTAACAGGTGAAAAGTTGCTCTTGGAATTTTGCTCTGCTGAACTGGTAATACGAATCCTATTTTATGTCCTAATAAGCAAATCCCTAGCTAATAAAAGCAATATTAAGAATTAATTATTAATAGTTGTAGTACATTCAGTTCTATTTCATAACATGAGTCACTTGTGCATTTAAGCATCAGAAGATGTTCTCTCTTAACATCTGGAAAAGACATCATAATCCCATGGTTTTTCTTCCCTTCACTCAGATTACGGCTTGAGCGGACACAGCATTATGTAGAAGCCTTCGTTGAGCGCTGCAATGGGGATGTTGTGGTATCTGCCTCAACCCGAGAGTGGGCCATAAAAAGACACCTCTACAGTCCCAAGGGAGTAACAGCATGCAAAAACCTTGGCCGCGTAATGGCACAGCGGTGTTTGGAAGCAGGAATCAATTTTGTGAACTTTAAAGCAGTTATCCCCTGGGAAAATCGTTGTGACTCGGCAAGTATTCATCTCCTGACACTTATCTGGCCCCTTTTTCCTTTTTAAGCATTACTTTTACTTCTCTTTACCATTAATTTTATATGGCTTAAGAGTCCCTTCTTGCAGCACTCAAAAGTGTAGCTTTGACAAGCTGCAGTTCCTGGCATTGTGCTTCAGTGAGTTTGTTAACCTCTGCATCACCATGAATCATGTCCCCACTGATGTTTTGGTGCTGATGAATTTTCCTTTTATTTATTCATGTCTCTATCTTTTAAACAAGATTCAAGAATTCAGAAACGCTATGGAGGAGGGTGGTGTCATTCTGCGTGAGCCACGAAGAATCTATCAGTAAAATGGAGACCATTGGGAAAGCTGAGGAACAACGATCACTTCTTCAGGTGTGTGTACCGGCACAGCGAAGGTCCAGAGCTGGAAAAAGGAGTTGGAACATGGCATCTTATAATAAAATATTTTAAATGGATATCAGTGTGTCATATTCTTGATTCTAAAATTATCAGCACCTTTGAGGCTAGAATAAACTGTTACCATAGTTCAGCCTGACAGGTTAACAAAAATTACTTCAGAATTCAATAATTTTAAAGTATATTTTTGTATATTTTTGTATATTTGATTTTGGGTTTCTTCAAATCCAAACTCTGGAAATGCTCAGATATTTCATCTCTGTACAATGCCAGGCTAATTTAGCAAAATTCAGTCATGTTATATGAATGTATAGAATTAAAAAAGTTATGCACTAAGCTTAATAAAAAGATTAAATTTCCTTATCTCATCTTTGCAGCTTTCTTGCAACCCTTAGATTCTAGCAACTTAAACCTTGCAGGTGTAGGAGGGAAGCTGCACAAATGCCTGCTGTAGGGAGTAGGATGCCCTTTTCCCTCTTTCTGTGTCTGCCAGCTGCTTGACCACAGATTGATGCTGTCAGGTTGATGCTTGATGGCTCAGCAGAGCTCCTGGATGTGTCCAGGCTCTGTAATCTCATGCAGTGTAAACACTTCTGATAGGCACAGTGCAGTGGCAGTCTGGGTTCAGAGGGGGCAGCCTGCTCAGTGTGACCCTGTACCAGTAACCCATGGGTGTAGCTGGTGCAAGTGTCTACAAGCTCTGGCAGAGGTGAAGTGAACGCCAGGGTTGTGCACCAGGGTTCAG